AGCTGCGTATATAATCCCTATCGGGCACGAAAAGACTACTACGCCTCCGTAACATCATATACTATAAGTAATTCGTTACTAATATCGTCTTAGAACGCTAGCTATACCTATAAGGTTACCGCTAGGATACCGTAAATAATACTATTATTAGCTCCGCCGATAACCGGCCTATTTATAAACTACTAGATATCCACGGCTAGTATATAATCGAGTACGCGGAAGCTATGGCCGTTACCGCGTTCGCGGTCTTAGTAAGGCACCCCCGCGATAACCCGTATAGAAGATCACGATAACCGCGGTAACCGTAGAAGACCACGGTATAACGGTAGTATAAACGCCTTGGCCATTACGGCACCGATACTCTTATAAAAATCGTCGACGCTATTTAGGGGGTGAAGATAATAGGACCTCGTATAACGGACTATAACGCGTGTAGGTAATCGTAAGTGTCTATATAGATCCGGCGAATGCTATCCCTTTACCCGTTAAAGCCCGGAGAGGCCCTAGCTATTAATTTTTATAATCTAGAAAAGGCGGAGTAATTAGCAGGCGGACTATATAAGTTTATTATATTCGTTATAGACGTGTATATAGGTTATACGTGGGATTACTACCTATAGAAGAGAGACTAAGGCTTTATCCTACACGCTCTAAAAGACGTTTTTGCCCTGCTTGAGACCTAATTCGATATTAGGCCATGCGTTCTACGGGTCGATTCTAAGATATTTTAGCACCTAGAAGTTATTACTTTCCTCACTGCTAAAGGGGTAAAAGGCCAGCTATCGGCATTATATTTATAGGATTAGAATAGCATTATAGAATGGATTAAAGGTATCGTTAAGAGAAGGGCGAGGACTATAAGGATTAGAGCTAATCTGCCTATATCTATCTAGCCTAAGATCTTTAAGATTACTATATATGTGTATAACAGAACGCTATAATATATTAACGACTAGCGAATACTATACGAAGGCCTACGCGGCCGTTAACCTAACCTTACGCACCTACGAGTATACGGCTATAAAGCCTTTATAAAAACGCGCGATACCTAAGCTAAAAGAAACCGCCTATAAAGGCTAAAAACGAAGGTATAGATCGGCTATCACGTCGGATACTAATCCTCGAATAGCTTCCGTATTTAGCTACCACACCTAACGGATATTATTACCACGAGAGACGTGGTCTTTAACGAAGATAAGATATTTAACGGTAGGATTAAAACGCTATAAGCTATAGCTTCCGCCGAGGAAATCGGGGAATGCCTATAATCTATCCGTATTACCTAATCTAATAAGACCGCGAACAGGCTACTATTAAGGGGTATAGCCGTAAACGTTTTAGATCTTAAGTCGGAAGACTCTAACGCTACCGCTATTACTACGGGAGAGGCCACCGCTATTACTACGGACACTTTACGGTTTACTCCTATAAGGTTTAAACCGTTTCCCACGCCTCTAATATCCCCGGAAAATCCCGTGCGCGCGTTCCTTATAGCGTTAGCAGTGGTTAGGGGCGCTAAGGTGGAAGAACACGATAACCACTAACGGACAGCTATAGGTGCCCTTAGGGGGTGCCTATCGGCTATACTCCTATCGGCCGCGCGCTTATTACCCGCGCGCTTATCTATCGCGAGAACCATCGTAAGTCTATACACGACCGAGAAGGTCTAGAATAATAACGCCTAAAAGGCGTTCTTTAACGCTAGCAGGACTTATAACCCTACACGCGCGAGGAAGTAAGCTATTAATGACGGCGACGTCGGTGCTATAGATTCCACTCCCTCTAATACCTCTTAGCCGCTATCGTATATAACCCGTAAGGATCTCCCGCCTCTACTAAAGCACTACCGCGATATACGCCTCTACCCGTTACGGGAGCGGTGGTTATAGGCTAATGGGGAATACCTTAAGGGGTACCGATAACTAGGCTACTAGTAGGAGGTAAGTAGTAATTAGGCTAATAAGTAATAAGTCCTCGCCTATAGATAGGTATACACCTATAAATTTAATAAGGAGGGCACCCTCCTTAAGTATAAGGCACGCCTTATAGTCCGAGGGGATTAATAAAAGCGGTCAGAGACTAAAGATAACTACGCCGTAACGCTAGCCTCGTGGTCCTTCCGTATACTAATAGCGATCGCCGCCCGATTTAACCTAGAGATAAGGCAGTTCGATACCATTAACGCGTTTGTTAACGCTAGCCTTAAGGAAAAGGTGTTTATAAAGATACCGTAAGGCTACGAAGTACCAGGTAAGGCCCTGCTACTACGGAAAGCCCTCTTTGGTTTAAGGGTATCGCTACTACTATAATAAGAGGAATTTAGCGGTATGCTATAGAGGATAGGCTTTATAGCCGTCCCTAATAACCCCTATATTGTAATCCGCGACGGTTTAATCCTATTCTTCTATGTTAATAATATCGGACTTATATACTATAAAGACTATAAAACGGACGCCGATACCCTCGAGGCTGCCCTTAAGCGAAGCTATAGGTTATTAGGAGGCGAAGAAATCCGTTAGTTCCTAGGAATTAAGGTCCTAAGGGATAGAGCTACCCGTAGGTTATAGCTATTATAATCCTCCTACGTGGAGAAGATCGCGGTTAAATACTATATAGATATACTCTACCGAAAACCACTAAAGGTCCTATTATCTATAGAGCCGGTAATACCCCGAGATAGCACCCGCGTGTTAATTCCCGAGGTCTATTAGTATTAGGGAATAATCGGTTCTATCCTATATGCCGCTATCGTGATATGACCCAATATCGCGTTCGCTTACTTAAAGCTTTCCTAATATAACGTTAACCCCTCTTCTAACTACCTTAAGAGGGCTTAATAAGTGCTACTATTCCTATACTATATAAGATACTATTACTTAGAATTCGGTGGAGATAGACTCTTCCTAATAGTAAGCGACGCGTTCTTTAGGGATAATCTAGACCGTAAGAGCTCGTAAGAATATACGATAAAGCTTTTCGGCGGCACCGTTAACTAGAAGGCGGGTAAATAACCGACGGTCACGACGTCGTTAATAGAGTCGGAACTACTCGCTCTTACTAAAGCAGCTAAGGAGACGCTATTCGTTAGCCGGATATTAAGGGATTTAGAGCTTCGGCTAGACTAATAATAGCTATAGCTATACCACGATAATTAATAGACTATTAACCTCGTTAATAAGAAGGTATAACGCCTGCGAATAAGGCTACGGTATATCGATATTTATAACCAGTAAGCGCGTTAGTCCGTATAGCAGGGCCTTTTTAAGATTATATACGTTAATATAAAGGAGATAATCGCGGACGGTTTAACGAAGACACTACCGGAGGCAGGAATTAAAAGACTATAGTAATAGCTTAATTTAACGGATTAAAAGGACCGTATCGAGTATCTAAACGACTACACGAAGAGATTAAACGCGCTAAAGCCACGGCCGTAGTAACGATAAAGGCCCCCGAGGACGCAGTAGATCCGATGGATATAGATCTAATTAAGCAGATCCGGCTAATCAGGATCGAGGAACTAATTAAGATAGAATTAAATTAAACGGTTAAATAGGGCGGATTTAGATCCCTTTTACGAGGGCGTTTTCCCCTGACTATTAATTTTACAATAGAAAAGTTAAGAGCGTTTAGTTTAAACTGAAGCCTCTAATTAGTCAGTTAACCTAGGAAGACCCACCTTAACTAAGGGGGTGTATCGTATAGGCAGGACCACGATATAGTCTATAGGGGGTCTAGGGGGGATCCACTCTGTAACTAAGGGCTCCGGATATTAGGGACTTCGGGTATTAGGATATAATAAGGGTGGATACCGGAAAAGACCGGATAGGATCTAAATGATATAGTACCTATAATAGAGTCTTTACCACCTAAATTAAGGGCATAAAAGACTCTCCCAGATATAACTTAATATAATATACACACACGAGATTTCTGCTCTACTAAGTTAATTATTCAAGTGCCTATTTTGACGTGCGACAGATATCCGTAGGATTTCGAGCATTAATTTGGCCTCCTAAAACAACACGTTAGCGACACGTTTTATAACGTTCTACGGCTTTAATATAATTAATTTAGAACCTCTTAAATCCGACCGTTATTATTGTATTTACCCTTTACGGTTATACTATATTTAATAATTAAGAGTCTTAGCGGCTGTCTTTAATTATTATAGGTATTAGCTAGATAGACTTCTATAGTATAGTAGAGATATACTCGTTATACTCTTATAGCCTAATAGTTATTATAATTTCTATTAGTTGTTATATCTGTGTAAAAGAGAGAACGAATAACATATTATAGATACCCTCTAAGGAGTGATAAGTAACTATAATAATATATAAACACTTAATAGATAATAGACACTAAAAAGAGGGTATCGTGGTAAGAGTATTCGTTAACTCCTTCTAACTCTAGACTCCTTAAACGGCAGAAGACTTCCCTTTATATATATCCTAGGTCTTTAACCTAAAGAGTAGCTAAAGGTCTTCCTAAGATTAGGCTTAGGTTTAAATACAGCTAGCCTTACCGATCTATATCCATAATCTGAATAGAATCCTCCTATCTAAGTATAAGGCTAGTACCTCCTCTTAAGGTGATTAGTAACGTATAAGTACTATATATTCTAACACTAAGTTTATGGGTAATATCTATACACAATTAAGGTAGTTTAAAGAAAAGATATTATAAGCGTCTATATATAAGCTAAATAAAATAAAGAAACTAGCTATTTAGGTTATTATTATAGATAGGCTTTAGCTACTAATGATTAACGAAGAATTAGACTCTAGTTTAATTAACGTATATAACGGTATATACCTTATCCCGCCAAGACCCCGTTTTAGTACTACGAATTGGGCTGTTTGCAGGTAAGAGAACCTGTGTTATGTTTCCCTATAATATGGTTTGTTATACCTCGATAAGGTGGCTGTGGCTGTGGGCATCTGACAATCAAAGCTCGGTCGAGAAACGCTGGACCCACATTCAAACAGCAACTGAAGCTTGCTTGGGGCTTTTGCTCTGTTCCATCCTCTCCAATCATTAACTCACTTCGCTTTAGACTTCACACCACCACGAACATCAGTAGTCACACACAGTCTCAGTCTCGCAGTCATCACAGCAAGTTGAAGCCCTTGTCCGACCTCTTCAACATGTTGACACCGACTACCACGACAATGGCATTTCGACTGGCCGGTCAAGGCGCCCAGCGTGCCGCACTCCTGACGTCGTTTACGAAGACCACCCAACCCAGCTGCTCTCTCGCGCCCACCTTGACCCCCTTCAAGACCCAATCTCACCAGATGAGCATACTCGCGAGCTCCAGCCCGCTATCTTCTTGCCTGCGTCTCTCTTCCTCCCCGATCTCAAAGTCGACCGCGGCCCCAACGTCCACCACCCTCGCGCTCCTCCGTTTCCACCGTTCCGCCTCCACCTCCACCACCACCGCCGCCGCCGGCTCCTCCTCCTCTTCGGCCTCATCCTCGGGGGCCGCCCCAGATGGCAGCCAGCGCCTCGACTGGAACACGTTTTTCAAGCTTCGCAAGGCCCGGCGTCGCTGGCAGGTCGCTTTCAGCGCCTTGGCCATGGTTGCCAGCGGGTGCGGCGGGGCTGTCTTCCTCGGCACCGGCGCCGCGGATCCTGTGCTCTCCCAGGTCCCTCTCGACCCTTTCATCACGCTGGGTATGATGGTCCTCGGGTTTTCTGCGCTCGGCTGGCTTGCGGGTCCGAGCTTGGGGAGTGCCGTCTTCAATACGTTGAATCGGCAGTGGAAGAAGCAGATTACCATGGTGTGTGGCTTTCGATTAACCCGATGTTCCTTTTCCTTTCTCTCTCTCGCTTTCGTCTCTCCCGTGTCGAAAGAATATACTCCGAAGAAAAGCTAACCCTCTGTCTCACTTGTAGAAAGAGGTCGAGTTCTTCGCCCGGATCAAGAAGAACCGTGTCGATCCATCTGCCTCTGGGGCCAGCAACCCAGGTTCGTTCCGTCCCCCCAGCTCGTCAAACCCACGGCGCATTCTGGTCGTACTCGAAAGAGGGAATATTCTTTCTTTTCGGCGGTGGAGTAGTGAAAGAGGCTAACATTCCTCGTCCAGTACCCGACTTCTACGGCGAGAAAATATCCAGCGTGGCGGGTTATCGCCAGTGGCTCAAGGATCAGCGGGCCTTCAACAAGAAGCGCACTAAGTTCGTATAAACCCGACAATATCATCTCACAAAGGACGAGGTCTGGACAAAAAGGGGGACCAATTCGGGAACAATTCGGGAGCATCAGAAGGTTCATCTCAGTTCACAACATACGCCATAACAGGGTTTGTTGTTTCACTAGGCGTCGGTAACGCTTAGTAACTGTAAGAATAGGAAAGGGGGGAAGCAAGAACCTCGGCGGCAGTGAACCATATGTATCACGAGCTTTTCTAATTTTCCAAACTTGGGGATTCAATCACCTGTAGTGGTTTTTTTTTCTCTCTTGTCACCTACGACTTATCATGTGAAGGGCAGTGTTGAATCCACCTCGGCCTTCCATGCCCTCATCCCCCCTCTGATATCACCTATAAACCTCGTCCCGTTTCTATGCAGGCCCATCTCCTTCAGCCGTCTCGTCGCCAGTTGCGAATCGTTGCCTACACGGCAGACGACGTAGATAGGACTATCATCCGAGACGTTGGAAGGAAGCCAGGCGGGCGCCCTCTGTTCCAAAGGTTGGTCGCCATCGACCTTGGGGGTGGCGGTCTCACGAAGGAATGTAGCGATTGGAACATTGACGGCCCCCTCGATACTACAAATGTCAAAATGTTCTCGTTCGCGCACATCGAGCAGCACAGGAGTACCGGCACTCGTCGTCGTTCCGCTGGGATCCTCTCCACTAGACGTCACGCCTCGGGCTGCTGCTAGTAAGCGACGACTGCATTCAGCAGCCGAGATGCGTTCGTCAGGCCGCAGGATAGCAAGCGGCGCGGCAACGCCGCAGAACTGGGCGTAGTCGAAAGCCCCAGTCCGCAATCCCTCCAGCGTCAAGGTGGCGTCGGCCGAGCAGGCGACGCAGCCTTTCTTCCGAGGCCTCATGGAGAAAGACCGAAACGGTGGGGCTGCGGTGCCGGAGAAGAGGAGCATGGATGGTTTGCTACTCGCCGGTACCGGTGTCGCAGGGGGGGAGGGGTCCACGGCTCCCGATGTAACGACCTTGATGGCCTCGAGGGCCTGCAACACCCCCATGACGCCGACGACGGGGCCAAGGATGCCGCCCTCGCCGCAGCTGACCACGCTCTCTGGAGGCGGGGGACGGGGGAAGACGCAGCGGTAACAGGGCCCGCCGGACTCGTCGCCCACGGCGCTGGCGGGGTAGTTGAGGACCATGAGCTGGCCATCCGTCTTCAAGGCGGAGGCGGAGACGAGGGGTTTGCGGAGGAGAACGCAAATATCGGAGACGAGGTAGCGGATTGCGGGATGGTCTGTGCAATCGAGCACGAGGTCGTACTTCGAGACGATGGATTCGGCATTTTCGGGAGTGAGTCGGGTGTTGTGAGCGTGGTAAGTGACGGTCGGGTTGAGACTGGTGGCGGTTAGCGGATGCAACAAGTACTGCGGCTGCTCAACGTGCAAGAACGTAATGATATGAAGTGGTAATAGGGGTGACCTGGTGAGAAGAGAGTGGTGGTGAAGGGCCCTATGGGGAGGAACAGGGAACCAATGGGCTTGATGGTACTCTTTAAGATAAGTGATGGCACTTTCGACTTTGGACATGCCAACTCGTGAACTCGCGTGCGCGATTTGGCGGTGCAAGTTGGATGTCTCGACCGTATCATCATCGACAATCCCAAGAGTGCCGACTCCAGCACCGGCGATGTAGGCGGCCGCGGGGCACCCTAGACCACCGGCACCGACGATGAGAACGGAAGCGGCCTTGAGCCGCAGTTGGCCTGCAATGTTATGGTAAGCATAACAGTTCCTTTCTTTTCTTGACGGGTGGTTGAACAGAGAGCCCCTCATCCTGACCTTTTGTCCCTACTCCCGGGATGACCATCTGTCGGCTGTATCTCTCATAGTCGGTCGCAGGCAGGGGCCATTTCCATGTTGAGTCTTTTGCCCCTCCATTGACATGAACCTGACCTTCAGACTCGGCTTGAGCGAGATCCTCCTTGAGACGTAGTAGTTCTGCTTCGGCTTTCGCAATTTTGTGCTTTAGATCTTCTATTCTGTTCATATTGAGAGCAGATAAAAAAAAATAGCAACAACGCAAGTTTGTTCCCCTGGTGGACGGACTTCCAGGTTGATTCTTGGTGGTGAAACATCATCGATAACGTTTCGATAAGATCGACCACTAAGCTCCCAACCCCACCATGTCCCGAACCCCACGAACGGTCTCATCCCGGTACATGGAGTACCGAAGGTACCTTAGGTACGGAGTAATTACGTACCAGTACGTACCCTGATGAGCCCCACTACGAATTTTCGCCAGCTTCACTTTGAACTGTCCATCCATGACAAAATTCCCATATCAATTCCCCATCAAGCTCTTCGCAATGGTATGGCAACAGCAGTACCTCTACCTCCAAAATTATGAATGAGATTTCTCAAGAACAATAATGAAAAGCTAATTGATTCTAGGCGCCCACCAAACCCCTTTCAGCACGCGAGAAACGCCTGGCGCGGATAAGGGGCGACATCCCCGCGCAAGCACCGCACAAGACACACCGCCCAGAAGCCGTCGTACCAGATGGCTTCCTCTCCACCAAGCGCGACAAGCGCATCATTAAGCACAGCGTCCTCCTCTCCAAGGTCCAAAAATCCGCCGCCACCACCTCGTCATCCAGCAACCTGAAGCGTCGGCGCCCCAACAAGAAACTCGTCGCCACCCTCGAGTCCCTCGCCGACGCCCTCCCGGAGCTGAACGAGGCCGAACTTTCCAGACCCGCCGAGGGGAAAATCCGGCACAAGAGCTTGCGGAGCCGGCCCGGCGCGTTGAAGAGGAAGGAACGCCTCGTCAGGGGGGAGATGGCACGCTTCGGGGCCAGCATGGCCGCGTTGGCTGCGCTGCCCGAGTCCAAGACGGCAACGACGACCACTTCTACGAGTGGCATGGACGTGGAGAACGAGGATGGCAAGCCTTCCACTACTCCGGCCCCTTCGACGACTGGTCGCTGGGCCGCACTGCGGCGCCACATTGCGAGCACGATGGATCAGAACCCGGCTTTCGCTACCCAGAGTAGTACCAGCGGCAACGGTTGAGTAGGCGGGGGGCCTCTCTTTCAGTGATACGGAGAAAAGGATTACAAAAAAAAAAAAAAAAAGAAAGTCCAAAGGCATGACGATGTCACTGCGGCAGCTCTAGACGGTTCGGCACGAAGAGAATCGACCCGTCCATATATTTGCCGCTCTTCCACCCGCCCTCTCGTTATCAGGGCCATGACATACGACGTCTAGACGCTCAATGGTTCCCACTGGCAGTATATCATTGCTAGTCAACTATACCACAGGATACCAATGCGGCCAGATGATCACTTATATGGAACTTGTCCATAACCTGACAAGGGATCTCTTCAGTTTTGCAGGTGAGGTCAATTTAGCGTTGGGTCACCTTCACAAGGATCCATGCCGCACTAAAGACCGTCTGACTGTCAGACTTTGTGGTATGTGGGTAAGGATTTGAATTCGGGCGAAAGGGAGCATCTGTCACGACTTTAAACTACGTAGGTACCTTGGTGAATTACGAAGAATGCTGGCCCAAGCTTCGACAGTCACGCTGATATTCGATCTCGCTAAGGTATACAAGATGCCTTAGGGGTACACTGAAATAAACACTACAGAACAATGCGATACCGCCAGTGATGCTATATGCGTAAGAACTGTAACATCCAACCCACCCAGCCGGCTCGCCAGCTTGGATTCGCAAGCCATTGGCATGACCAATGGCAGGCCTGCTCCAATCAAGTCAGCCTCACTTCCACTCGCTCTCATCTATAGTTCCTGGCAGGTTGGCGCCTGGTATCGTGGGTATCGACAAGTCCACGGACGGTATCTCGCCATCCCAGTGCTTTTTCTGCAGCATGTTCCACAGCATAAATGTCCTAGCCGCTTTGGCGCCTCCCCACGTGTCTTGACGGCCCGACCTGCCTTTGTCTTTTCAAGTTCTGGCCCTCCAACGCCAAGCGCCAAAGAAGGGCACGAGACATGCTCGGTAAGCCTTAGCCTTTCTGCATCCCCTGACCCTGGCGAGTTCCTGTTGTTTGGGTACCGCTCGGTGCAAGCTTTTCATGATCGGATGCGCCCAGCTAGTCGTCATGTGGCAAGGTCTCCTGTCGTCAAGTCATACAATGTGGTACTTCCATCTCGATCCTGTAGGAGTCGCAATTTCGCGACAGTCATTCACCTCGCCCCGTCTAATGCGCGGCACGGCGTAGTTGTCGTCCGTCTCGTCAAGAAGGAAAGCGCTGGTATCGGGGGAAAAAAAAAAAAATTACAGGGCCGGCTTCGCTGCTGGGGGTTCTGTTATGCGCGAGGGAAGGCAATTCTGGATTATTCAATCCGGGGCGGAGTCCTAGACGAAAATGGGGATGCGCTTCTCCTACAAGCACACAAGGCGGGTTTGTTTAGCGCACGGGGCCTCCCTCCTCCGTCGCCGGAGACAGAGAAAAGGGGACGGGGGTTGGGGGTTTGGAGAGTTAGACATACGACCGCCTCCTCTCGCCTTCCTTCCGGAAGCTGTCGATGATCTTGAGCATCTCCTTGCGTCCGCCTTGGCTGTCGATCAGCTTATTCGCCATACTCATGCTGACCTTCTGGCGGGCGTTGGCGCTGAGAAGGCGCTTCACTAGAAGGTGGCGCATAAGGATACAAACAAAAACGCCACAGTCGGAGCCGTTCTCCTGCTGGGGTGTGTCTTCGAGGTTGAGGAAGCGAAGTGGTCCGCGCCCGAGTATTTCCGACATTTTCTGCGTGGCCAGTCGGGCCTCCTGATAGTTGCCGCCGCCGAGCGAGTCATAATGGAAGGCTACTCCGTCAATCGCGGACACCAAGAGCAGCGACCAATGCGATCCGCCCTCGGCCTGTGATACGTTGCGAGCGTCGTTGATCGGGAGAAAAACGTGGGTGGCCTTGGAGAAATCGGGTAACGCCGATCGAATTTGGCATATATCGGGCTCTTTCATCAAAAGGAAGGTCATCGAAGGCCGGAGGAGGATTATACGAGCTTGGGGGTATTTCGGGAGGATTTCTCGCTCAAGATACCTGTGACGCTGTTAGGTTGCGGCTCGAGTAGGTTGAGGAAGGATCGGTCAGAGAGAACCCAACTCTTCCCAGAAAGCAATGTTCTAACGAGAGGGTTTTGTTAGCGAACCCCGGGGCCTTTGGGAGATAGAGGGGCCTGGGCTGGGGACAAGAACACACGTTATCGGTCAACCAATCGCTCTTTAACGCACGGATGTCCTCGTAAGTCACTACCAAGGTATGCATTTAGTACTTGTCTCTTGACTGTCGCTGATTTCAGGAAGGGTTCGCAGCGCCGGTGGCGTACATGTAATGTCGTGGTCTACAGAGCAGGACACAAGGTCAGAATGAGTTACACACAGCGTCACACAAGTGGAAGAGTACAAGAGGGACTCACATGAGAGGACGGTTTGATGCGGGGATAGCTAGGAATCGGAGCAAGTCAGCAAATCCAGCCACGGATGACAAGGCTGTCCACCTTCTCGTGTTTGTGCGCGCATCAGAAAAGATGTCCGATGGCTCCTGTATTGGACACGCGATACGGGCCGGAGGATGCCCAGGCGTATTGGCAACAGAGGAGCCAAAGGAAACGTTCCTGAATTGGGGGAGAGGAGGCTCACCGAGTCGCCAAAATGACGAGCCATCTTGCGGAAGGGCATGGTGAATTGCGACTCGGCCTTGATGGAGCCGGAAGCGGCAGGGGAGGTCGCGGTGATGTCGCGCCTAAGAGAACTCGAGAGAATTGGGAGCGACTCGGACAGCGAGAGAAAAGCAGGTTATGACAGCAAGGTGAATATATCGGGGGGGGATGTCGCAAGAGCAGCGGCTTTCTTCTATTGGTGGTTGAAATCTGCTGGTTAGACTCGAGGCTGGTATGTACCAGCATGCGAGACGAGGGGCCTTTTGAAGCTGGAGTTGGTCTTACGAAGTAAACGGTGGGTTCTCGGGAAAGCATAATAAATAAGAGCGGCAACGGTGACGGTGCTGGTGGGGGGCGAGGGGTGGCAAGACAACTAACCGTTCTTACTCTGTACACGTACTGTAATTACAGAGTAAGGTACTTGGAACAAGTTTCACTGGTAAATGGGAATGTGAGAATATTACACTATAAAACCGTCGGTGACTGAATAAGGTAACATGTTGTACCTTTCGTCCGCTTTGGCGTGATAATACAACACGAGTCTCTTATTAGGTACTATATATCCGTATTATGCACCGACTGAAAACTGCTTGGAGTGTGGACGAGGCAGAAAAGATCGCTTCTGGGGGCCCAGTTCTTGACTGAAGAACCCCTATAGGGTTAGCGGGTTCACCGCATGATCATCCTTTTTACCCGACGACGTCACCTCCACTTTTTATCTCAGCAGGTACTCAGAACGAGGTACTTCGTACGAAGTATTCTTAGAAGTGGTCTGCTGACTCTGCTCCGATCTTGCTGAGTAAGCCAGGTTCGGTGAAGCGAGGTTCACCTGAGTTACGGTGCTGACCAATTATCCGTCTCCTGGCTAACCAGTTCGTTCTCCAACCCCCAAGGACTTGGATGCTTCGGCTGGTCAGCCATGAAAAGGAACGGTAGGAGAGTTGCTACACACTTTGATGTGACCTGGGATGGCCCGAGAACACCGGCGTCATTGATAATGTATGCACGAAGTACTTCGTACCGTCATGCCTTTTCGTCAACTTGCCTGTCAGTCTCCTGTATGGAAGGGGGGGCAGTGGTCACCTCCCGAGACATCAACTTTGCGACTTGCAGTCAACATAAGAAGAATGAAATCCGTTACGCCTAGATGAAGGTATATACGGCAAATCACAGGGGGCACTGTAATAACTTAAGAAAAACCAAAAAAAATAGTAGACACACACCAGAAGAATTAGTAGACACACCCGTACGCTATAGTATAGCTTCGTATAATTATATACGCTAGTAGCAAAGGCGATATATATAACGGCAGAATAAACTAATTAGCTATAGGGAATTTTTTTTACTACTATAATAACTATAACGCCACGGCTTAACCTAATCTTATTTTTATTCCTTAGATAACTATAGGCTAGTAAATGACCCCCTACCCACGGCTCCGCGTAGCCTAGATCTATAAATTCTAGTACTAGGGCGTAATCCTACGGTGCAGAAAGGCTCCGAAAACTAAGTTTTAGTATCGCTACTACGCTATATAAGGAAAAGTGTCGTAGAATAGTTCTAGATACAGGCTAACGCGTACTATAATAGGCGTATAATCTTAAATATCTCTATATATATAATAATATAAGTAAGTATCCCCTAGTATAAGATAGCATCGGAAGAAGACTATAAATAGCCTTAGACTATCGGAGAATAGATTCTGCCGGCTACGCCTAAGACTTAGCCTAAAGATACGCTAGGTTCCCCCCTCCTTAACGCGTTTATTCTTAATCGTACGTACCTATACACGCTTCTCCATAGTAGTATACTAACTATTCGATATACAGAACTACGAATAAACTACGCTAGCACCGTTTTATAGTACGTAAATAAGAATAAGCCCGACGTATATATCCCTATATCTATATATATTACTATACACTAACGAATATATATATTAAGCGTGGTGTTATTATACGCCGTAAGTACTAAAAGGGCGTAGTCGTCAAATTTCCTGATTCTAATATAAAGCGGTTGTAAGCCCTTTTACGCTTATTTATATAGATATATAGCGACGAGAAATAAGGGCGCTATCGTTACGATAAGTACGCTGCAGGAAAAGGAACACTCGTGTCCTACGTTATGCTTAAGGGTTTCAGTAAAGGCGGGTACGGTAACTACACAATTAGCGCGGGTTCCTCTAGCTGCTTACTAGCTTATAAGTTTCCTAATAGCGCTATATAGTCTTATACTAACTAAGCTAGATATTAATAAAACGCCGCGTTTAAATAAACGTAAACGCGTTACGGGGGAGGGCTCGGTTAGTAAGAAGAAGACCTCTACTACCTCCGTTACTATTAACCTAGACGGTATTCCCGCGCGCTAGGTAAAACGCTTTAAAGAAGCGATTACCGAGGCTGCTAAGGAGCGTAAGTGACTATTAGCTACCGTACGACTCTATATCTTCCTGTACTAATAGATATATTAGTGCCCGATAATAATAAGGATACAGCTAAGTATAACGAGTAATCTTTTCTTTTTTACTTTTATATATAGTAGCGCCCGGCTATTTTTTTTTTTTGCTTTTACTAGGGAACTAAGGTTAGGGCGGTTAATAATAATACCCTTTGTTTACTAAGCCTTAAAATAATTTAAGTATATTTATATTTATAATATAATATATATACTATACTATATAAAATATTAAATATAGTATAGTATATATATTATATTATATATAGTATAAGCTATATAAGCCGGACTTATAATAATATAAAGCGAATTTGATAGCTAATAATATACTTTTAAAAGCTCTTATTATTATATTATAGTAAATATAACTAAGGCTAATAATCAGGCTTATTCTAGTTAGGATATATTATAGTAGCTAGTAGTTACAATATAGTAGTATTAGTCTAAGCTAAAAAGTATATAGTATAAGGATTTATCTTTAAGCCATTATGCCTTGATCTAACTATATAAATATAACCGAATAAGTATAATCTCTCTTGATATAATAGCTATAAATAGATATATAGGTCTATTACACTGCTTTTAGCGATAATAATCGTTATATTATTTAGTGCACTTATTTAAGGTAGAAATCTATGCTAAATAGAGTCTAATTAGATACTACGCCCTATTAATAATATATAGCTTTTACCTAATTATATTAAGTTATTACTACGTTTTAAAATAAGTAGTTAATATCTAAATTACTATTTAAACTATAATAAAAGCTCTGTATACGTATATAAATATCCTTAGCTCTCTTTAAATTTAGAGTCTAAGTATATATAAGGCTACTATATCGATCTATAAAGAATATAACTCTAGTATTACTATGAATATTCTTAAGAAACGTATTAAAATCCACTGCCTAATATTTATTACCTTATATAGAATATATATATATATGGCCTTATACTAATATATTAGATAATTATAGTATATATAACTATTATAATCTATAGTTATTGATTTTATCTTATAATATACTATAAGTACTCGTAGTATTACTAATAGGCCGTATTCTAAAAGCGTTAATTTAAAGTAAGATTATAAGTAAACTCTTTATAGTGGGTAATATTAAAGAGCTTAAAATAAAACCAGTCGATAATATATATATATATATAATAGTACTTACTATAAGCTTAAATAACTAGAGTTATATTCTCTATAACCCTATAGTCACTACGCGATATAGGCCTATA